GGATTTTAGAAGAGTTAGCGATGAGACTACTAATATAGCCAATTCTAAAATTTAACTAAAAAAAGGAAAATCAAAATCTTTAATATAAAGGAAAAGAAAAATCTTAATTACTAAAAGTATTTCATTGTTTTTTTCTAGTCACTGACCCCACAGCATTTCCATTCAAAATCTATTATTGAAACCAAGATGAGAGTTTATGATTTTTTTTCTCATTGTTATTTAATTGCTCCCTTTAAAAGTTCAGATGGAGAGAAATATTAACAAGTGCATCACCACCCAGAGAAGTTTCCTTTTGTTGCGTTTGTATAAAGAAACTCACCATTCTCTCACAAGGATCTATTAGTTCTTTTACGAAATATTTATTTAATGTCTACTCTGAATCAGGCACTGATTCAAGAACTAGAAGTACAAAGCCAGATGGAACTCAGCTGCTGCCTTTCGGATACTATCATGACGCAGGAACTGAAATTTGAGTAAACAAATTCAGAAAGGGTTTAAGCATTGGGAGATACTCCTCCGTGGGTCTCTGGCACTCCTGACAAGAATGCAAGGCCCCAGCCACTCTTTATCCTAGCCATGTCTTGGAGCTATGTTTACTGTGGGCAACTTTGAGGGATGAGGTCATGTCTCTTCGGTACAAAGAGCAGGCTTGTTTACTGCTTATTAATGAAACAGTGGGTAACTGAAGTTCAGGGCTCCTCAGCTGTGATGCAATCAGCTGTGTCTACAGCATCCACCCAGGGCCCACATATTATTCCCACGGGACATGAAGGCAAGGGGGAACCAAGAGAAACACGATGTTCATGCGGCTTGCTGAGCCGTAATTAAGTCCTTTGTCTCTGACTCAGAAGTCTCACGTCTTCTGCTGGCATCCCTGAGAGTAAGAGACTAACTTATTAGCTTTCAAATTGGGTAAAAGTCCAAGACTCGACAGTAATATTAGTACAGATGTATGAGGTGCTATAAACAATGTAAAAAGCAGTGAGTTTTCTTGGGCATCTTTACTGTGGGAAGTTTGGTGCCAAATTGTCAAGCACTGGAAGTGTAGAGACATAAAAAATTTTTTTAATCTCACTGAAACTATTCAAAGTCCTCTCCAGAGATCAGTCCCATTGCCTGCTATAAGGGCAAGCATTCTCAATTGAGACAGAAATAGAACAAAGTTAACTGTACTTATAAAGGATCATGACCTTGGTTTCTACTAAATAATAATGATACCCCTAGTACTATACTATTACTACTACTAGCTAACATCTGTATACACTTACTATGTGCCACAGCTTTTCAAAGCACTTGACCTATATTAAACTCATATAACCCTCAAAACAACTTTATGATACAGGTGTTAGTATAACCTCTGTTCTGCAGATGAAGAAACTGAAGCACAGAGGTATGTTGTTCAGAATCACAACCCTAGTAAGCTGTGCAGTTACAAGCAATCTCGCTCTGGAGTCTGTGCTCTGAAATAGAATCCTCCTGCCTTCCTAGAAAGTAAGCCAACTGGGAAATCTTACATAGGGGAAAAATTCAAGGTAAGATGTGTTATTGTTGGGGTAAACCGAAGATGTCTTCTTAAAGTTTCTAGAGATCAGACTTATCAAAGCTGCATTGAGCATCTACTGCTATTCCTTGTCCCGGTTCTCACAGACGAAAAAGCAACTGTCCCATGGAAAAGATGTCCAGGAACAGCAGTGAGAAGACACCTAACTAAAAATAAACACGAATCAGTGGAATAACATAAGAATAATGTAAGGATGAGGGGAATAACATTAGTTGGGTCCAGCTCTGCCTAACAGCTGCATTAATGCCCCTACCTAAAGAAAGGTAAGTCTTGTTTTCACTAAGTAACATTGAAAGTATCTGTTCAGATAGAACAGCTTTGCTTTTCAGAGCAGTAAACAGGTATATCAACCGATTATACATACTGGGAGGAACTAAATATACATATTTCCAAATGCATCACTTTGGACAATCTCAACAGTAACAATCCCTTGTCAAACAGAAGAAATAGTTAGAATATTTTTGTCATTTTTGTGCTAACATCTCTTCTGTCATTTTTGTACAATGTGTTATACTTGTATATTAAGAGATTGTGATTATCAAACATGGGTGCTATAAAAGCAGATGGGGTTAATATCTAGTGAATAGTTAATAGTATAACCTGACAACTCCTACTTGCTTAGAGTTCAATCATTATTTATGCATCTGATTTCCCACTGTCTTATATTTTCTCATTCTAATAAGATTACTATTCTATTCTTTGTCATTCTGTGGAAGTTTAATTTTAAGCAATGACATGACATACAGATGATTTTTTCTAAAAAAAGAAACTAGACGTTACATAACTGAAAATGATCAAAAAATTTACCTTGAAAGTGTCATCATTTTGAGTTTGGTTAGAGTAAATCCAGCTTTGTTTATTATTTCAATTATTTCTCCAGCTTTTGACACTGCGTCTGGTTTAATCAGGGCTAATGTTCTGTAAAGAAGAATAAGTTTTAAAAATAAAAATAGTTCAGCAGTTTTTACTTATAATTACCAAACAGTGGTATTTTCCTTAACAAATCATCCTAGATCATCACACATCAAAGTTAATTATAAAAAGTGTATGAATGGTCTCAAAAACTTATACAAAGGAAGTTCACTATTTTTTCCCCCAAGAAAATAAAAATTAGGTACCCAATCTATAAAAATAATAAAAGCCTAGAGGAAAAAAAGTTAAATTGTTATTTTAAATATGCCCACATTAGAAAACACAAGTGTTTAAAATTTCTACTTCTTAGAATATGTTTTATAAAAGAAGGCAATTCTCTAAAAAGTTGCATTAAATATTATGAGCTGGAGTTTTGGTCTCAAATTTTAACATGTGTATGCTATGCAGTCAGTTCAGCACCGATGTGGAAATAATTATCAATTCTTCTATATTGACACTTTATTCATAGCATGAATGATGTACAAAGTAACAAATGTCTTCTTACCCGACAAAGTGTATGGCTAGTGAACATGATGCTAACTTTTAAAATTATACTTTTCTCTAAAAGGATACATCAGAGCTATGCACTCTCCCCTCTAAAGCCACAGAAGAAATAGTTTTTGGAGATGGAGATCACCTGAGTGCCCTCATTTTACTAACAAGGAAATGAGGCTCAGAGAGGTAACGCTGCAAAGGTCACACAGCTGGTCTGTGTCACCTTGAGGACAGAATACCCAGCTCATATGACTCTGGGTCTGTGCTTCTTCCACACCACAAGTGTCACTGTTAACATTAGTAAGAGGGAGCATGATTACAAATCCTCAAAACTAATGTTTGCAAATGCAAGATAAAATCAGACTAGTTGCAGTAATTGAGTTTATACGGCACACAAAATGAAAAAATTCCTGCCACTTTCCATCATTTTCAATAGCTCTGACACACTGACATTAATTCAAAGAACCCATAAAAGGAGAATGGTTGGCCTTTTCATAATTGATTTTTTTCACCAATGAGACAAAACTTAGCTAAATATATAATGATATAAATATCCTTAGTTAAATACATAATGATATAAATATCCTTATTTACAGTTGGTTGTTAACTTATGGCTGGCTTTTAAAACTTTAAAATAACAGGCTGTTCATCTTGGTCTGTTTATTCAAGCCCTATCAGACTTTTTTCTTTATTTTGAAGCAAGTGAGTCACTTACAGCATTTTATATGGCTTCATCGAAGATACAATTAAAACCTGTCACTTTTTAAGCTCACATTGTTTGAAATTATAAAGCCAAATCATGACTGTTTATTCTAAACTCTGGAAAAATTTTCATGAGCCATAGTGCTTAAGAAAATATAGAACAGCAGCAGCAAACAAGATGCGACATGAAAAATAGAAAACTGACAGAACTTAGTTTAAAACACAGCTTCATTTTCTCCTTAAATGCCTACAGGAGACAAAGCGTTGATAACTGATGAATTACTGTGTTCCTCTGTCATGTCTTCACTGCTTGCTTGTTCAGTAGATAACAGTTAAAATATATTTGAAGGAAAATTAGACAGGAATCAGGAATCAAATGCATTATTTAAAAGCAAACACAGCACACAAAGAAAGTAAAGGGCAACAAAAATATCTTAATAGGACTGCTGTTATCTGTCGCTCCATTTAACAAACCACCCCAAAATGTAGTGACTTAAAACCCCAAGCAGTTTCTCAAGAGTCTGTAGGTTGGCTGGGCGGTGGTTCCACCTGGGATCGATCACACAGCTGCACTTGCTGGTGGGTCAGCAAAAGCAGCTAGGCTTCTCTTTTGTTGAGGCCTCAAGAAACCAAACCGGCAAGGAAATGGATTCTACCCTAAAACCTCCACAAAGAAGTGCAGCCTTTGCAACACCTTGATCTCAGCCTGCGAGGACTGTGTTGGGCTTCTGATCTATAAGACTGTAAGACAGTACATTTGTATTGTCTAAGGAACTGAGTTTGTGGTAATTGGTTATGACTTCAACAGAAAACTACAGAAAGAAAACTAAAGAGACGACAAACACCTGAACTAACAAAAAAAAGCAAGAGAAATAGAAAAGCAGGAAAGCAGTAAAATAGTAGAAATACACACAATGGTAATAATACAACATATAAATGTACAGGTACTAATCTTACCAATGAAAATCTGGAGGTTTTCATATTGAATTTTTTTTTAAGGGCTACATGCTGTTTTCAAGAGACACACCTAAAATATAACTTAACAAAGCTGAAAGTAAAGAGATGGCAAAAAGACTAATTAATCAACCAAAAATACGCTATCAGTCAAACCCATTCTTGGGAAAGATGGCTCAGGCCACCCACATTCCTTGGCTGCGGTTTCCTTCCACCTTCAAAGCCCGCAGTGGAGACCGAGTCCTCCTTACCCTGACATCTCTCTAGTTCTATGCAGGCGGAAAGGTTCTCTGATTTTAAGGACTCCTGTGATTAGATTGCACCAAAGGGACTGATCCAGAATAATTTCCCCATCTTAAGGGCTGTAATCTTAATCAAATCTATAAATTCTCTTTACCATGCAAGATAACTGTTGGGCTGCACCCCGCAGGGCCTGCAAGCCTTGTTGTTGCCCAGCCTCCAGACAGAAGAAAGCCCGAAGACGAACACAAAAGCGGTTTATTGGACAGAAGAATCTCACACAAACTGTCCTGGAGCGATACCGCGAGCACCGCCGCACGCAGCACCGTGCGCGGCAGACCGTGGGCAGGACGCCGCAATCCTTGCCGTTCACGGGAGAAGGAGGCGCCCATTTACACGGGAATTGATGTCAGCTGGGCCCATCGGTTAACCAGGGGCTAATTAAGCCTTAATTAAGAGAATTGGATAATCATGTGAATGAAGCAGGGACTGGTCAAGCAGAGGATAGAGAGAGAGAGCAGCTTTCTTCAATGGCCTGACCACACCGTAACATATTCCTAGGTTCCAGAGATTAGGACGTGGACGTCGTTGGGCAGCCATGCGTCTCCCTACTGTACTCCCTATTGGTTTCGAGTTTATATGCTATTTGTCTAGTGGTTTGCTGTGAAACTTTCACACTTATTTAACTTAAAATTTTTTAAGTTGTATGGTATCTTAAACCCTTTACAAAGAGTTTAGAACACTTTAGCTCCAATATTCTTTCTTCCAACTTACATAGCTTCACTGTTGTTTTGGAAATTCAGTTTTTGCCTGATATTAGACATCTTTTTTTTTTTGGTACAAGTGATATTTGCTTGGATTTACCTACAGATTTCTTGGTAGTAAACAGAGGAAGGAATCTTAATTTTTCCCTGGGAGCTTAATAATGAGAAGGTATTTTTCACGGCATTATTTGAAATGCAGTTATGCTGTCGTTGGAAGTATCATGGTCATCAATAGTAAGCCATCTCAGACATTGAGACCATAGGTAAGTAAAGATGAGAAAAAGACTAGTGGGATGAAATCTTAGCAAGGCCTTGGGAATTGAACTAAGGTCTTACTTAAATGCATTTCAGTGCCTTCTAACTGCCAAAACTCAATGCTGGCCACTGCTCACCCCCACCTCGGAGGACATGTAAAGTAACAGTAATTGGTATTGAGGAAGTAGTTTCCCAAAGGCAAGAGCAGAATTGAACTAACACCCGTATTCGTCTGGCCTTCTCCCCTGAGAAGTAGCCTCGATCTACTCAAAAGTGTTAAGACAATTGGCTTAAAGAAATAAAACTCCAAAAGCAATGGAAACATGTGTACCCTTGCTCCTCTTGAGTAAACGTGCTTCTACTCCATTCCCTGGAGAGGGCGCCCTCTCTCCACCCCCTTCATCTGCTCTTCAGGCCGCAGTTAAGGGTGTCTGGTTGTATGTGGTCCTGCGTCTTCTCTCTCAGAACTGCAGGCCCTCCAGCAGGGCGTAGTCTGTAGTTCTTCCCCTGCTTCCACAGCTTACCTGTTTCCTTGGGTCCTTCATGCCTGACGGGGCCTCAGTGAAGTTGGAGGAAAACAGAAAGGGCAGATACCTTTGGGGAAATTGCTGGTAAACGCAGCAGTCCCTTACTCTTCTTTTTGATTCCTCCCGCCTCCGGGCGTTTCTTTTCCCTCCCCTCCCCCAACTTCTCTCCCATCCACTGTTCTCCTGTTTGGCATCTTAAGGCCTGTTTCTCAAACTTTTCCCCCAAGGCACCCTTAACAACTGACTGGACACCAAGTCATCACTGCTGACTTCCATTTATCTTTTTTAAAAAGAGCGTGGATTTTTTTATTCTACTCCACATTATTTTAATATTTTAAAAAATGCTTCAAACCATTTACCTGAATCTAAATGTAAACCTAGATTACGTTAAGTTGATGCTTACGGAAGGTGGACCACAGTTGCCTGGGTGGTCTGAGAGCATAGTCTGAAGCCCCCAAAAGCCTCCCTGGACCCCAACCCCGCCAAAAAGGCAGAGGCCAGCACCTGTAGGGAAGCCAACCTCTCTCTGGCGCTCTGTCTCCTATGATCAATGGGAAAGTGTGCTGTCAAGGCTTGATCTGCAGATCTCTCTCTCCCTCAGGCAGGCCGCAAAATACAGATTGGGAAGGAGTGAGGGCAGGGAGTGGGGTGGAGAAGTAGGAATAGGAACAAAACTTCAACCATTCTAAAGTTGGCTTATACCAGGCAGCCTAAATAAAACCAATTTGCATCCGGTACCTGTCAGTGTTTCACTGGTTAATAATTTGGAGGGGAGAATGGAGACTAACTGAACTCAAGAGATAAGAAGCTTGAATGATGTCTTTACATCTGAACAATAGAACCATGAAGCATCAATTCATTACTGTCTAAAATTAAAATCAAATACTCTAATTGACAACTAATAACATTATCCATTTGATTTGAGGAGCTTTGTAAAGAGAATATAAAAATTAATTGAGAGTTGATCTTTTGTTAAGTTCTCTTACCACAAAAGAAAAATCAATATAAAAAATAAGGGGGCAGGAGGAAACTTTTGGAGGTGATAGACAAGTTTACATCCTTGACTGTGGTTATGGTTTCACAGGTATATACTTATCTCCAAACTCACCAAGCTGTATGCGTTAAATGTCTACAGCTTTTTGTATGCTAATTATACCTCAATACAGTGATTTTTAAAAAGAGAGAACAAATGTGCATCAAATGTCAGATTTCTACAGTTAACGGGAATTAGAAAGCTGAGTCTAGTTTGTGAGCTTAATTGAATCATACAGAATTATCTCAATAAGTGCCTCAAAATTAGCAGATGAGCACCATGAGGATCAACTTTACTCCTCCCTCTGACTACAGACTTTACTCCAGAAAGCAAGTAGCTGAGTATGATAAATATAACAGGGAGGTAATTAGCTCATAAATTTTCCTTGACAATATGCAAAACTGAGAACTAGGCTAAGTTATAATCATTACATAGAAGCTGTTTCTACAAGACCATGGTAGAACTGCATGTATTTCTTGATACGCCTACTTTTTTGGTCACTTAAATAAGACAGTATATTCTAAAACTCTTGAATTCTGAAGTTTATTTAAATCACCCAAATGGTTGCTGGATTTATCCCACTTGCAGTTAGGAAAAGGATCAGAAGAGAAAATGGTGAAACAATTTAAGTCAGTAAAGATATAATGCTGCACATCTTTTAATTAATTATATTTATAAAGCCCACATATTTAAAATCTGTCTTCACATTCTCTGTTCCTCTTGTTTTTAAATCAGTCCATTCAATAGTACCTACCAACATATTAATTAGAGGTTTAGAAAGAGAATGAGTTTTAGAGTCAAACGCAAGATTTACTGGCTTCCCTTCATTTTGTAGCTGTTTGACTATGGACAAGTTACTGAACTGTTCTGTAAAATGGACTCAACAACATTCACTGTAGACAAATCAGAGTTGATATATATGTTATAATTGTTATAGCAATTATTATTTTATTCAGATTGGGTCATACGAGTAACCCTGTCTCCCTAATTCATTTATTTTTGCTAATGTAAATGAAAACCGGAAGTAGTCCTGAACTAAGAGGCATATGCAAAGTGCCTACCACAGTGATTGGCATATAGCATGTGCTCAAAAAAATTAAAGCTATAAGTACTCATCACTTATAAATAAAGTGTAGTTGGTGTTTCCTTAACCCCATAGGCTTTTACCAGATCTTATAACAATGAGATTCCTACTTATCTAACATTCTTTTTTTTTTTTTCCTATTTCAAAATTATCCTGGGAACCTTTGGTTTTCCTTTTTTATGAGTCATTCACTACCCCGCTGATCTATCACCACCTGTGTACCAATACCCACACTGAGCATCAAACCACCTCAAGAATTATAAAGAGCTTGTAAAGTAGTCACTACAGCGAAGGGACTTAGATGTTAGGTAATCAGCTGGTTATTTGGGTGGCAAACCTCAAAAAATAGTTTGATAGATTTTTTTTTCCTAAAGAATTACATAGTTTTTGGAGCTTTTTTAAATATATAGCCTTACCTTCCACCAGTGATCCCTATTTTTCATTACTGTAACACTCACTCCATAAATGCAAAGCATCCCCCAAGTCAGCACAGTACAATATAACATAAGCCACAGAAACCAGAGCCAAGAAAGATGACCAATTAAAATTGCATTTCAAATATAGTTCATGTTAGACTCAGAAAGCTGCACCCTGATAAATGTAGAGATTGAAAATGAAAATTTCATTTTAATAATAATGAAAATTGACATTCAGAAGAAAAAAATTATTACAAGTCCTTTTTTTTTCTGGATAGCCTGATTTTCAGCTACATCTCCAACTTGTTTTGTCCGTCTTCTAAATCAAAACCAAGGAAAAGTCAGAATGACAAGTGTAGCTTTGACAAACAATGAAGAGAGGAGGCCAGAGAGACACACAAAGGCACCAGGCTACAGTTTCTCCACTTCCCAGGAAGAACCACATGCGATGAGAGGGAGGGAGGAAGGCAGGGAGGCAGCGGGCCAGAAGCGCCTCCCCCAGACACAACAACTATTTTCAAGGATGTAAGCTCATTCATTCAACAAATTTTTGTAGGGCATTCCCTCTGAATAATTCACTGTTTGAGGCATCACTACAATGGTCTTTAAGGATGTAGTTTTGACTCCAAAACAGATTCAGTTTCTCTGTATCACAATTTTTTAATATATTTTTTCTTTTTGCAACACTCATATATTCTGTCTTCAATTGATATTTACCAGACATATATTATGTCTGTGAATAAAACTAAAAAATAGACAGTATGTATTACAATCTAGACAAAAATATCTTCGTCAACTAGCTCAAAGATCATCATTTAAAAACAGGGAGGAAATGAAAAAAGAAAGTGTAGATATTAAATTTTAAATTGTTATTCATTGGTTCATTCAGCTCACACAGATAAGGTGCTTGCAATGTGTGAGGAGAAGTGCTAGACGCCACAGGAGACGTAAAAATGAACTGAGACGGAAAGAGGGCAACTATTTTGCAGGTCCTATCCATTCTCCTGTGGTTAAATCCTCCCATTCTTGATGCAGACAAACGCTGGGCTTTAATCTTGCCTCTCCTCTGTGATCTTTAGCAAGTTACCTAACATCTCTAAGCCTCAACTTCTCCATCTGCAAAGTGGAGCTAATAATAATATTATTAGCTTCTGTATTAGATTGTTGGGGCTTAAATGATGCGGACAAATCATTTTAACACAAGGCCTGATATAAAAATAGCTAACAGTTATTAAGGCATATCATTACTACTCTTGCTCTACTTATGTTAATCTTATACTTCCTTCCTCTTCACACCTATTGTCAACATCCTAAATCAGGCTATTTTGCTACTTAAATTAAAAAAAAAAATTTAACCACCAAGCCAGTCATGTAGAACAACAGGCGTTTCCCAGTACCTAACCTTAAACTGTACCTTTATTCTTACGCATTCCTCTGACCAGCATTTCTCCAACTTGAGCCAACTAGGTAAAAACTCAGTCGATCTTTCATGAGTCTGCCAAACACCTTCACAAAGCCTTCCCTACTCTTCTACAAGAAATAGTTTTATTTCATTCCGAGTTTCCATTGAGCTTATGGCACTCACTACTTTTCCCCCCATAGGCCACGTGTATCCTACACACCAAGACTTACTTGTATTTTCAGTTCCCAAAAAGAAGAATGATGAGGGTGTCTAAAGCGTTTGCATTTTTCCCTCCCGAAAACAATCACTGCCTAGGACTATGGGCATCACTTTGTTACCTGAGTGAAAAGCAAATCACAGTCTGCTCCACAAAATTCTAAAAATGTCGTGACACTGAATTGGATCACTGAAAAATATCTACACTGTAAAAACACAAGGTAGCAACAAGAAATCAGATTTTGGTACCAAGACAAAATATTTTAAGAATGAAAAAAAAAAAAGGATTGTATAATTGTTTTCTTACTTTTCTTTCCTACTGCCCAACTGGCGAGCTGTATACTGATCCCCATAGTCAATTAGCACCAGTTGACGAGAAAAGACATTCACTTTGTTGCCTATAAATAAATCTTCCAAGTGAAGGTCTTCGTATTTGGTTCGCTTTAAAAAGGTGCGATGATTCTTTACATCATGCTGGAACCGAAAACAACAATAAAACAAATCATTATCAATAAGGAGGGTTAATTTATTATAAACTAGAAATAGTTCTTAATTCTGCTTTATTAAACATAGGTTACATTCTGGTTTTTTTTTTGCTACAAATACAAATCATAATTTCTTTTATAATTTCAGTCTTTCCTAGTCTAATCCAGTAATAACATAAAATTTATAAATTTAATACTTTTGAAAACTCTGAATAGAAGCATCTGTTTATTGCCAAATCATTTCAGCAAATCAGTGCCTATGAAATCCTGGAGAAATTCCAAATTTCTGCTTCCTTGCCGACACAAAATCCCAGCACCAAATAGATCCACCTACAAAAGGGGTTGCCAATGAAGGGACACAAAGAAATAAGTGGAACTCTTTTAACTCAATCTTCCCCAATTTGACTTTTTGTAGAGATAAAGTATTCAACAATGGTGACATATTTAGGGACATGATAATCTTTGTTATAACCACTTATTGACTGTTGCTTAATCCAAAACATGAATAATTCCCCTTCAGTTTTCTAACAACAACAAAAAAATCTCTACTAGAAATAAAGGCACAAAGTTATCACCTTGTATCAGAATTATAATACTCAAATAAAAAGAATCCCCAAAATAAAAAGAATGCATTTTTAAAAGCAACTATTAAAAAAGGCAATCCTATTCCTCTCCCTATCCTACCTTCACTCCATTTGCCAACCTTGAAGCAAAGAAAGGTTCACTTACCATTTCAACAGATCCATCCTCTGGGTAAAATAAAAGCTCATAACGTCGAAATAGTGAAGCATTTGGATCATACCACTCTGCAATGAAAACGAATCTTTCACTATGAGTCTGCAAAGAAAGAAAGAAGTATTTTAAACTAACATGTAAAATATAATCATGCCTGTAGAAATCATACAAATTGAAATAATTACCAAAAATTTGCAACAAACAGATCTATTACTTATTCTATTGAAGAATTCTGCAATATATTGAAGAATTGATAATAAATCAATTATCAACATACCCTCAGAAATATTTCCTAATTTCTTATTAAATATCCTTAAATATCTCAAAGATGATTTATGGATTGCTTAATACTTCACAGCCATCCACTCATCCTGAGTAAATTGATAATTTTTAGAATATGAGCTCCTGATCTGAAGAATTCAGTCCTTCTGAAGGTAAGTTTCCATAAAGGTAAAAAGACGATTGATAAACTAGTATGAGAAAAAATTTGAGGCTAGCTCTCACTTACATGAAGTTTTAACTGTTCTAAATTTAAGAAACAACAGGTCATTCATATTATAGTAAGCACCTTCTCTCTGCTTAGTAATTTCATGACAGTTGTCTTTTTGTAGAAATAGTAGGAGAATGTGTTAGTCTAGGTCCTCCGAGAAGCAGACAAGAATGCTAAGGCAAGATTAAACATGTAAGAATTTTATTCTTGTAAGAGAAATTCTGTACAGGAAATTCCTACAAGAGGAAGTCGGGAGGAAGGGATCCAGGGAAGGCTGACAGACGACAACACAAATCTGACCCTGAAGGAAGGAGAGAGAGAAGGCAGGCGGGGGGGAATCCTCCTGGATTGCTGTACAGTCTAAGGAAGGTTCAGCAAGACCACTGGGGAGTGCTCGAGCCAGCTGGCCCCCACAGAGTTTCTTGCCTTCCAGGGATGGTCCTGCTTTAGTGTCCCTGCTCCTCTCAGTCACCGGCTGTGAGCAGCCCTAGGGAAGCCTGTCCCACGTACAAAAGAGGCAGATTCCAGAGCACAGGAACTGAGGCCCTTTGGTCATCTAACATCTCTTTAATTGAAGATCTGTGAGGTGTGAATGAAAATGTAAGTCAAAGACTGGCCCTCTTTCCTTGACTATTAAGCAGTATTTCCCATCATATATGTTATTAAAAATATCTTAGTCCCCAAAGGCCCATCATTACAATAAGCCAATGAGGATGTAAGGAAGAAAGGAATCTAATGGTTTTGCTGCTAATTCTGGATTTAGCATCTGATTCTCTGGTTAGGGTAAACGGATGGGTTCCTTTTATGTTAATAACTCACTTATAAATTCTAATAGTAGCATGTCTAGCTATATTTATGATTATAGTCATAAACTATAATGTAGATAAGCTTTTAAGACACTATTTTATTCTTCCTAAAATCATCCAAAAAGACACACTTAAACAATGCTTATTAGTTAAGAGGAAATAAAGGTAAAATAAGAGACTCACTATGACAAGCCTTTCTTCATTCATTATTTTTCATATTGATTCTTATAAATACAGGGTTTTTTTTTAATTTAGGTTTCACTGTGTATTGTAGTATTGTACTCTCCTTTTAATACAAAAGTATTAGTAATTGATTAAAATTTTTACTATCTATATTAAAATATTCATTCACTAAAAAAATCATTGAAATATTGCCTTCACTAAAATAAATAAAACTATGAAAGGGAAGAAATGATGAGACATCTAACTGAAGGCAAAAGGGCAAAGATAAGGACGCAAATGAAACACCACTGAAATTTAACACTCCAATTTATCCAGGCAGCCTAACCACAAAACCTGCCAATCATGCTCTTTAATTCTGAAGCAGGTAGTAGAATTTTTCATGATTCATCATCCAGAAAACAGCTTTAATACAAAGAAAACAAAGTGAGTAATTACTGTTTCTGGATGACAGAGCAGCTTAGAGCAATCAATGCTACTTTCCAAGAACAACTAGAAAACTAGGATATATAAAATATATATATATAGTTTGATGACCTGGGAGAGCATCTAAGACAGCCAACTTTGATGATCCAGGATTCAGAAATATAGAAAGCTTACTGAAGTGAGTACAGCATTCTTCATGCTGCTTGTACCTGAGGACATGTGCTGAGACTTAGATCAAGCTGGACAAAAGACTGAGAAGCCCGCAGAGGAAGGCTGTCAAGAAGCAAAGAAGCCAGCAGAGCTTTTGATGATGTCACAGGGGTAAGCAGACAAAAACTGGAATCTGGGCCCACCAAAGCAGCCAAGATCTGAGGGGCAAGGATCCCAGAGGAAAGGAAACCATAGAGAAGTGAGCTCAAATCTGTGTTTGTTCAATGGCGCTTTCAACAGCCTCAAAGTTCTAGGGAGAGAAAAATGCGAGTTCAGACCCACCAAACAGGAGATCCCTGGTAAACAGACAGCCTTTCTGACTCTTGGAGCATTACATTCTAAAAGCCTGGGTTAACGAAAGGTAAACTGATGGTTACAAAGTTTGAAACAAGTTTTGTGTTCACTCAATGTTTAGTCCTTCACCATACTGACATGGATTTCCCCCATTCTAGCTCTGCATCTCCAGAAACATAAATACAGCTTTCACACACAATGTCAAGCTTTCAGAGATAAACTACCAGACATACCAAAAAAGACCAAGAGGAAAAATGGAAAATAGGAAGAAATCCATGAATAGCCTAGTTATTATCTTAAAAAGGCTTCAAAATGACGATAGGTGTAAATATATATATGTCAAGATTAATAATTTCACCAGAAAGCCAGAATCTATTTTTTTTAAGTCAAGCAGAAATTCAAGAATGAAAAGTAAATGCCAACATAGCAACCTATAACTAGCAAAATCACCCTTCAAAAGGGAAGGTGAAATAAAGACATTTTTCAGACAAGCAAAAAACAGAAAAGTTATTGCCAGTGTACCTTCACTGAAAGAAATTCTGAAGGGAATTCTAAAGGAAAAAGGAAAATTATACCAGATAATTCAAGGAATAGAAGGACTGAAAAATAACAGAAATGTACATAGGTGGGTAAATCTAAATAAATAATGAATATACAAAATAGTAATAATGTCTTGTGGGATATTAAATAAGTAGAGTTTGAGTGCATGTCAATAAGAATATAAAGGATGTGAGGGGAAGACAATGTTCTTCAAACTATGTGAAGCCAAGAAAGTATCCCCTAATCAGTTGTTCAACCTGCTCTCAAATTCCAATTAACATCAGTGAAGAGAATCTCTCGTAAAATAATAGGTAAACAAATTGGAGATGTTCTGTCCAATTTTTCACCCGCTGTTCTGTTAGAATGACTTTTCTTCATCTCCTACTGCTCAGCCAACTGGGAAATAATTCTCAAAATGTTTAGTAAATCAGTGTCATTCAAACTTTATGAAATGAATGATAATCATTAATCATGGCAATAACAACAACGCTGCTTTCTAGAGAACCTACTAAGTAGCAGTTTCTTTACATACATGATCCCATTTGAGTCTCACAACAGACAATGCAGGTTGACAGAAACAGGGATACTATTTCAAGGAAAAGGTCAGTAAAGCTCTGAAAGTTTGAACACTGGTCCAAGATTACACAGCAAAGAAATGAGTAAGTCAGAACTCAAACTTTGGTCCTTCAGACTTTGCATACATCACGTTTTATCCCATTAAACACCACTGCCTATATAAAATGATGCAAAAATCAGTGTTTAAAAGAAGTGTTCAGTCAGTGTGTCTAAACTAATGATGACCTGAGTTATTTAGCTACATTTCTATGTAGTTAAATAATTCTAGACAGGGTCAAGTTTTGTAAACTTTAACAACCATGTAGGAAAAAGGAAATGGATTATTTATTACAAGATGGGATGGAGAAATCATGTCACTCTCTGTGACATTAGACATATTTAACAAAATATGTCTCTTCAATTAGATCCCAATTCCAGAATCTTAATAAATCAAGAGTCAGTGAGATGTGTCCTTCTAAAAATACCATCAGTTTAAGATAACAGAAATTTTCATAAATTTAAGAAATTATAGAAACTATATATATTATATTGCCCATAAGTTGCTGCTTTGAAACCATTTTCACTGTGAGCATCAGATCTAATATAGTCATGATCTCTAAGAAAAAAACAATAAAAACAATTACTTTTTTATCATAAAAGAAAAAAAGTAAATAGATACCAGAGGTCACACTTTTCTGGGGAAGGAATAGAACTGTGTTAATTTTTAAAATTCCATCAGAAACCAAACAACATAATCAGATGCTGAAGGAACAGTTTGCAACTACTAATCAGTTCAATAAATCTGATAAAAAAACCATCACACAGGAAAAGAGACAATAACCTATGTCCTCAAGATTTTTTAAATGCCCAAGCTCTCGAGTCTGACCTCTTAAGAGTTTTGACATAGTTTCACAATAGTACCTACATACAAAGAAAAAATATTTCATATTCTCTCAAAAAATTAGCTCATTCCTTCATCTGTAGCTGTGCTTTACCTTAACGAGATTGTTTTAAGTACATAAGAATGTCTTCTACAAACGAAGAAACAAAGTCTCAAGCAAGCACTGTTTCCTCTATGAAAAAAGGTTTACTATGCCAAGTAAAAATTGTATTCCAACTTGATTTAACCTAACTTTCTGGCTTACCTTTCTTTGTAGTAGAAGCTTGGGTTATTTGCTATTGTCAAAAGGTATCTGGAGATATACCAGTGGTACACCTGGACCTGGCAGAGAACATGATATATCTGAATGTCCCATTCAGGCTGGCCTTTTAACTAGCTGCCTGACTACACACACGCACATACACATGCACACACACCTAGAAAGTCACCTTTGAAATTTTAAGAATTTTACTCTTCAGCTAAGTTGAGCCACATCTAGCAAAGAACTCAATTCCTCTCTCTTATTTTTTAAATGATGACCCAGCTGAGTATCATTTTGTGCGAACCCTTCATTTCATGGGGAATGAAACTGAGGCCAAGCAAATATAAACGACTCGCATAGAGTCACATAGCTCTTTAATGACTGAGTTAAAACTGGAAACTCCACTTGCTGTGACTCAGCTCCTTCCATAATACTGGGCTTCTGGGGCCAGTTTGAGAG